TCAGCAGGTATCAAAATCAATAGTTCCATATCACAAAAGCTGAAGTCTCACAGAAATTAAAAAGCAAATGTTATATAGAATCTTAAAGTGAATATATAAATAGGATTAAATGTTTGAATACTTAATAGAAAAAATTCTTTCACTTGGATCTGGTATTACATCTCTGCCGTTCTCATTATGTTTGTTACCTTATAATTTACTAAAAAAAATAAGTTGAAAACAAAGTTATTCTCAACAACTGTATGAATTTTGCTGCTGCACCTTTTAAAGTGAACTCTAGAAGGAAGCCAAAAGAAACACTAGTACTGAACATCAGGGTTGCCACTAAATTATGTTTAAAGAGCACATTTACAAGAGGCCAAGCTACTCACAGATTAACAAGATAATAGCATATGTAATTGTAAATGTTCAGCTTACTACTCTGAAAACCCTGTGAGATGTTTATTGAGGAGGATAATCATGACCTGTTATAAGGAAATTCATGAAACTATTTTACACGACTACAAGTTTTCAAGTGCCATCAATACTTTTAAATATGCTCGTTTAACCGTAGTAAAACGGGTCAGCATTTTTGTTTTTAGTATTGTTGAAATTTAAAATATAAACAAATTAGCCTCAGAAAATAAGAAGCTTATAGGATTTAAGTTAATAAGGAGGCAAGATTACTGTGGTTATCTAAGAAAGTGATTAAAGAACAAAGGTACAATTTCTTTCCTGCAAGTGTTGCATTAAAAGAAGCAACAGTCTGCTCTTGAAGATACACCTCTAATTTAATTCTGTTCCTTTAGTTCTTACCACAGATAGCAAAAAAACAATTTCCTTTAATTTTGATGGAATAAAGTTAGGACTATTCAGATTTTAGAAGAAATTTACCTAGAGTGCCCGAGTTCCTGTGTCATCACATTGGCCTTTTAAAACACTGAATTATTTTCTTAAAATTAAAATCCGTATATAAAAATATTTTTAGATGTAGCCGTGTTTGTCTATAAAGCAAATGCTGAAATATACTGCTAGCATGCATAGCAAATTAAATAAACGATGTCCAAGTTGAAGGAGGAACTTACAGTACTTCTGCCGATTTTAAATTCCTCCCTCAATCTTCCCTCAACTCTGATCAACACTGTTTATAGTAACAGCACTGCTTTGAGAAACGCCACTTGTAAGCATGGTACTGCTTTATGGGTGCTTTTGATACACTCAAAATACATTATTCTGGCCAGCCATTGTCCATTTTCTTCCACCAGAGTGCACAGGCCAGAAACATTTCCAGTGCCATCAGGCAACGTATTAAACAAAGCCAGAGGCATTCCTGTAAACAATAAGGCTGTTTTCCAGTTTTTAAAATAATGATATCTGGATTCTTACAGCAACTACATATTTTTCAAATATGATAAGTAATATTTTACCTGCGTGCGTTTGCTGCCCACTCTTTAAACGCAAGTCCAGGCAACTCCATCCAGTCTCCAAAACTGATTGTTAACATAGAGCCTTCCATAGACTATGGTGAAAAACAAGATGTGTAACCAGATAGATTTCAAATAGATACATTTATGTAAAACATGGAGAAGTTGTTCTCATTGTACTCATTTAGAGCAATAAAATACTAGAATATAACAATATGTGACTATTATGTGAAAATCTGTTTCCTCAGCACTTCATATTATAGTTAGATACTATTTTAATTACTAACTACATGATCTAATAAAGTTACTGGAGAAAAGCAGAAGGTGAAGAGAGAACAAGAGAAAAGGCACATAACAGCAAGTTATTGAAAACACCAAACTAGACACAAGAAAGTGGTTAAACCAGTGGGATAGGAACACTAACGTTCAAGACTTAGTTTAACAGCACCTGGAAATAATGCAAAGATAGGAGAAAAAGTCACAGAAAATACACTTCAATATTTAAACCAATGGGAAAGCAATGGGGGAAAAAAAAAAAAAAAACATGCAAGACAGCAGTTATGGTCACAAATTCCAAAATTAAGGGCAAATTTTTTCCCTTCCTTTTTTGTCTCTCTAACACATTTGGGCTTAATGGTAAGCTGAACAGCTGGAACTCCAACAGCCGTTACTATCTAAACAATCGTCCTTAGATAGCAAGAAACCCCCAACACTACAAAATTTTAAAGTTACTCTATAAGTGACATGAAGAATTTACTCACATGCCAAGCCCCACCAGGCGGTCCTTTACCAAGCACTATGTGGGGAATATAATGATGCTGTTCTAGCTTCCAGTGCAAAATTGGTGGGTAGTCATATCCAAAGTCAGCATCGGGATGAAGCAATGTATCAAAAAGCACTGCAACTGGATTTGAAGAGCATCCTTCAAGGCCTTCCGACAAGTACTCTAGATCCTACAGTATGAAAGAAAGTTTTTCAGAGTCATAAAACTTTTACTACACATGATATTATTCTGATGTATAGAGGATGAACTTCAACAAGAAGCAGAGAATTAGCTAAGCTGAAGTTTAAATACAGATAAATATTTAATGAAGAGATGCACTCAACATTTTTTTTAGAAATAATTCATGATTCAGTATTTCTACAACAATGCAATGACAAATACTAAGAGCGTCCTTCAAGGCCTTCCGACAAGTACTCTAGATCCTACAGTATGAAAGAAAGTTTTTCAGAGTCATAAAACTTTTACTACACATGATATTATTCTGATGTATAGAGGATGAACTTCAACAAGAAGCAGAGAATTAGCTAAGCTGAAGTTTAAATACAGATAAATATTTAATGAAGAGATGCACTCAACATTTTTTTTAGAAATAATTCATGATTCAGTATTTCTACAACAATGCAATGACAAATACTTGAAGAGAATATGGAAGCCACGAGGCCAAGTTTTGCTGACAAAAACAAGATAGTTTAGCCTCCCAAATTGGCAAAAGGCTCACGGAGGATAGGTGGGGAAGAAGTACATGAAGTGTCTGTAGCCAAAAACTACAGCAACTTACTCTCCTGCCCAAGAATAAGCCTTGAGACTTAAGGTCAACATCTTATGCAAACAGCACGGTAGAAAAAACAAAAACCAAACAAATAAAAAACCCCCCACCACACACAGCCAAAGACTCATACTTTTCCACTATGAATATATATGCGTGCTTGTAGTCTAAGCAAATTAGAGTTCACACACACAATACAGTTAACGGCAGCACTGTCAGTAATCGTTCAGGAACACAGTGGGACAAGCAGAAAACAACAACATGGCAAACAAAAGGAGAAGTGAGGAGAAAAATAATGGAGGAGATTTAACTATTCAAACAGGACAGAAAAATTGGATATATACAAGGATAACAAACAGCACAAGAGCCACTGTGACTACAACACAAACAGTGAATGATGTAGATCTGTAAACCAACTCATTTTTCTTTTCTGAACAGCATACATCTCTAGTGTTATTGAAAATTGAGTCCCAGTAAGAACTATATTATTTAGGAATATTTTAACTTGAAGTATGTGTACTTCAAACACGTTAGTAGCATGCGTTCTTCAGTCCTTAATGATAGTGCCCAAACACTCCAGCATGTGAAAGCTGAAATCCCTTTTATCAGCTACTCCCTGAAAAACTAAGTGCTGCTTTAGACAGTTTTGGCAAGTAATAAGGATATGACAAAGGGCAGACTGTAAAAAACAGCCCTTGTCTAGTGATAGCCAGTTGATTCCACTTAAATTAACAGAGAAACAAATAACTTGGTAATGCACTACAAATAGGACTAGACAAATGCATTAGTTCTCCACGATAATATATGTTATTTTGGGGATAAACAGTTCCTAAAATGCATTGCTTTTCACCTGAAATATATAGATTTGTTAACAGCTGTTGAGGAAGGTATATACTGACCTTTATTTTACAGGTAAGAAAAATGAAGTCAAGAAATAAAGCTAATTGCCTGAGGCCACTCAGTTACTGAGTGTTAATGTGGTCTTAATTCGTTGTGTGTCACGAAAGTTAAGACCTTTTTTGTGCATGGCACTATGGCACTACTTTTAGGCAAGTTACAAAAGCATTTTAAACAGGATCATAAAAGAAAGCCTACTGCTTCATAACCTAGTTTGTAGAAGGAAAGGATCTGGATAAGATGGTAACAAAAGCTTACTTGATCAACAATAGAAAGATGTCGGGCTTCTTCTAATTTAGTATGCAGAATGGGGTTCGGATGTATAGCTTCAGGAGACAAATATGGCCTGTATCCAGACAGCAGGTAAGAAAGACAAATTCCTGAAGGTCCATTTCCTATTAAAGAAGGAAATTAATAAAAATGCCAGTAAGCTAAATTTTGTATGTCATCAAATAAGCAGCAACAAAATTATACAGTAATATATAAGGATGGTATCACATTATACTGAAGAAGCTTATAATCTTTGCCGTAAAACAAAGTCTGCCACTAGGAAGTTCCTCCAAATAAGCTCAGCAGCACCTTTTTCATGTAACAAGAAATTAGTTTAAAAGTACACGTACAAACATAATATTTAAATCAATCTTTAAAATAATTATTTTTTGTTTACACTACCCAAAAAAAATGCAATACAGGGAAACAAAGTCATAGGACTTTGCATCATGGAACACAACTCATTAAAATTTTTTTCATAGTTTAGTATGCCAAATTCACTACTGTTGTATGGAAAGGATCCAATGGATAACATTTGGTCTACCTGTCAACCACCGATATCTGAATAGTTTTACCATCTTACAGCTTTGTGTTCTCACTTACATTGGGTACTGTAAAACAGAACAGAAAGACAACAAGGAGTATATGCTGTTTACACTGACCACAAGAGAAGAGGAAGAAATAAAGAGACAAACAGAAACAAAGCTGAAGATGGCGCAAGTCAGAAAGAGAAGCTATAGACCTAGCACAACAGAAATGTAAAAAATGAGTGAGGACAAATATATACAATATGTAAGTGCTAAAGAACAAGAAACTCATTTAAGACCATGTTCATCACTAAGTATAACAGCAACAATATCAATGCAAACATCTTCCTATATCCTCATTTGTTTCATACCATTTTATAGTTTATTTATATGAATTATTGTAATTTTAATATACTATTTTTCAAATGTTGAAAGCTGTGAAATAGATGGGACAAAAATATTACTGTAAGGTAGCACAAATATCAGGTAAATATTTATGTTCCTTTTACTAGTACTAAACAAAGCAGGGGATCATATTCATAACAGGCAAATACTCAAGGTATTAAAGGAATATTCATATTGCAAGGTCAAACAGCAAAAGTTAGGTAAAGCTAAGTAAAAAGAAGTATGTGTTATGATACATAACGTAAATGCGTGACTATGTACTGTTGTTTCGATAGCTCCCCTTCCTCATTAACCGAATGAAAAGCACACTGTTCTCCTAATGAGACACTATTCAATATTTTGTCTTTGTTTTCCATCTAAAGTGGCACACATGGTATTTACTACATGATGTTATTCAAATTCTGAGCTAAAGATGAAATCACTAATTTCTTCATGGCTTTTATATAGCGTTCATTGCCAGGATGTTAATTCTCACTTCCTGCCCTTTCAACTCTCCTTTTGATCTCAGTGTTCGCCCTTCATTCGCACTCCCCCATAACCTACCCACGTACTACTTCCATCACTAGTTTCCAATTCTACTTCTCCGATGTCTGTCTCCTCCTCTCCCTTTTCCAGTTTCCCAGTCCTGCATTCCCTGGTTTGCCTAGCCACTATTTTTTATTCTGTTCCTCCTGTTCATTCCCACTCTCTCATACATTGGACATCTCTTTCCTCCTCCACCAAGTTACACTCACTCTGGTCCCAAGCAGTAGTATATACCATACAACGGTGCAGGCAGAGACTGGCCACGAGCATGGGCTCCAGAAATTGTCAGAAGCTGAGACTGCTAAGATAAAAGAAGTCTTCAATAAGCATGTTTTTCCAAAAGCCTAAAATCTGAACCATTACATGAGACTATACAACGAGTCCCTTGCAGACTCTCTAATCAAATACCTAGTTTTTGCACCAATACATGTAGGCAAAAGCATTAAAGTGCTTGAAAGAAAACTGTATACTGCAAGGACCACTAAGCACTGGAAAAAGACTGCCTAGGGACATTGTGGATCTCCAACACTGGGATCTTAAAGTTGGAACAAAAATCTGTAAGGAATACTTTAAGTATTTGTGACCCTGTGCGTCTGTCTCTGTCTGTTTGTCTGTGTCTGTCTGCACGTGCCAAACCACTTCCATCTCCATTTTTCCATTTCCAAAGAAAAAGATCATAAAGAGACTTCCAGATAGTGAAAACTCTTCCTTACTCTCACTCTTAAACTGTTCTACCCTCCCACAAACACATGTCAGCATGAGATTGCAAGTAACACTTCAATTTAAACCTCACCACAGATGCAAGCCCCTCTTATCCTCTACTTGCCATGTCATAGAGTTGGATGTGAGAGAGAACCTTAGCAACATATTGAAGCCACCTATACTAAAAATCACATGGAACTGTGAAGACACTCTGATCATATCTATAGTTCAAGAGCATTCTCATGACTCTCCATTTGGGAGAAATTTGTATACTTCTGGAAGAATTATATATCCGGTGCATAATAAAGAAAGTTTGTTTTGTTTTACAAACGTATAACTAGGGTTTTTTTTCCATGTTGTGGTGTAACCTGTGAGGAAGTCTGCAAAGGAGGGAAGAAACATATACCAGCATACAGGAATGCTGTGCTAAGGATTATTCCCACTGGATAAGGCTAAAAAGAACCAACTGGAAAACAAAAGCTGCCAATACAAAGGCTAGCAAGGGCCAAGATTGTTTTAAGGTGAATTACTGAGTCCCCTAGTCACTCCCCTAGGACTATCCAGACAGCTGGTTCAAACTCATTCCCTGTTCTTCAAGCAGGCCCAGTCCAGGGAAAAGAAATTCCCTCATAGAAATGCTCTCAAGAATATGTAAGATGAAGTTTCTGCTGCAAGGTATGCAACAAATTTTACTATGATTCTCTCACAAAATCATGGGGGGGGGGAGCTTTTTAAAATGAGAAGTTTAAACCTGAAGAGTTTGCTTTTTATTCACACACAATACTTCCCATAATGGCTCTCACCACGACTGAGAGATTAGACACTACTATTATATACATTTTAGATTTGTAATTAATATATCCCCAAACCCTAGAGCCCTACTTAAAAAGTAGTTAGCATTTTGCTTCAGCAGTGGAAGAAGCTTCTGATCAACAGTAATTACAGCAGAATTAGCTTTGCATTAAGTGCCTAAATTTAAAGCAAATAACTAAAGACTTGTTATTTGGATGAAAACTTAAGACCATACTGTCTTTACCCAGTGACAACCAAAACTAGCGCAGAAGATGAAAATGTTGAGCACAGAACATCCTCTAGATTTAGAACTCCAGCATGAAATTTTCCATTTCCAACTCATTCAAATGGAATTTATCTGTTTCTTCACAATTTCTTGGGGAAAAACAGATACAGTACAGTACAGAAGTTACCTAAGATTATCACAGTTACACAGCACCCTATGCAGAACAATCTATCCAAGTAAAAATCAAATCATAAATTAGACAATCATATAGAAAAAATGGAATGGTGAAGCTAAAGGAAGGGCAATATAAACTAATGTTCAATCATGAAGTCAACTGCTTATACATATATACCATCTTTCTCTGATTATTAAAACGGTAAGGCGGCAGCACCAGGAAACTAAAAGAAGAAGGTTTTAACATAATGGAATACAGGAAACTGGAGACCGCCAAGATACTCCAGATATAAAAGAACAGCACAGAAGGGATCAAAACAGTAGTACATGGGGCAAGTGGGAGAAGATAACTTCCTTTTGTTTTCTTCTACAGTATTATATCATTTTAGGTCCTTTCTAGGGCTTCTTCAGACAGCCATGAATTAGAGATAATAGGCTGTCAATGGAGAAAATCAACCTGAGAGTTTTTTCTAAGAAAATCTGAGAAATAAAATTTGAGAGAAAATATTTCTAAGAGTATCTGAGGAAAAAACATTCAGACAATTCGGATGACGTATTTGTTTTCCACTAGAAATAGTCAAGGCAGCTGTGTTTGGTGTGAGCACACAGAAAGGAGTTCTAGACAAAGTAAGTATTGAGCACAGGTATTTGCATAATGCCTATTTACAAAATTAAACAGTGAAAATTGAGTCATTAACCATATGGCAAACTTATACTGAGGTTGAAAAAATGCCAGGAAACTGTTGCTGTTCAACTATGATGCAGAATTCACCAAGTGATTCATGTCTGTCACATCCACATTAATATATTACATGAGCACTATTTTAAGCTATCACTGAATACAGCTTTGAGAATAGGTATTCACAAACACCAATATTTCAAAGTAGTGTAGGTTTACTGTGAACATATTTCCTGAAAACCTCATTCTCTGGATCTCTCTCTGCTTGCTTGCTGTTGGTTTGCTGTAGCCCCAAAAGCTTTGGGCCAGACCACTGCAAGCCTCCTTTACCCAAGACCTTTCCTTTAACCTTTCATCAAGCTACAGCAATAAGGAGTTGGTGACCTGCTGTTGCTGAAAAATCTTGGCTGAATACAAATCATCCTGGCACTCTCAATCAAAACAGTTCTTCTGCTAAGACTTGTTATTTGTTGCCAAATGCAGTTCAGCTTTGTCAACCCACAACTTTAATTCAATACACTTCAACTGCAAGGCTTTGAACATAATTTAATGGTACTACTGTTAACCATAAGAAACATATCAATCTCAAACTTATTTGCTACGCAGATATTATTTAATTATAAATAACTTTGTACAGCAGATCTGTAAAGGCAGCGTCAGAGAATTAAAAAAAAAATACGAAAGGAAAAAACTCACCTATTACTACTACAGGTAGAGTGAGAAGAGGGTCCCCAGGCAGAACAGTTTCTTCTATTAAAGGCATTCTTTTAATCTTGCTCCCAAGGTTGTCACCAAAATACTGGACAAAGGAATTCAAAAGCTGTCCTTCAGTCTCAGGGCTATTGTAACTTCTAATTAAGAAGGAAAGAGGGGATAAAACCAAAATGAAACAGTTGAATTACGATCTGAAGAGCCCCTTCAAAAATAAAGCTGCCTTTGATGTTTTATTTTAAAAAGCTACGGAATTTGCAAAAACAAGAATAAAGGAGATACTCCTCATCCAAAACACAGAATTTTACTCTTCAGTACAGCTTTTCTAACAGCAGTAAAAAGAAAAAACAAAAAGCTGTTTCCGCAAGAAAGCCTACAGAAGGATAATAAATGGACAGATGGCTCCACAGAGATGCAGCTCCTTCTTATTTTGGTGGATACAAAGCCAACTAAGTATAGCAAATAACAAATACTATTTTGATCAACAACACACAGCAGAATTTGTTTCTCACTGTCCTTATCAAAACAGGAGAGATAAACTACCTGGCCAACTAATATAACACCAGCCAAAGGCTGCCTGAGCAGCTAAGATGCAACAGCAGCCATTCACAGGCCTTCCTACTTGCTGAGCAGCCTAGAGGACTTTACAGTCAGAAACTTCTGTTCAGGTAAAAGTAAGGCAGCCTAAGTCGGCAGTGGTGGGAAGACGGAGAAAAATTTGATCCCTAGGCAAGCTAAGCATAACCTATTTTATCACTGTTAAGTGTCTACAGAAGGAATTGTCATCCATCAGTCAGGTCAGCTGTTGCACAACAGACCGTTTTCGCAACCAGTAGACTACGTAGATTCGTTAGCCTTCTCTGAAGCCTTTCCAGGTCATTAAAGGAGCGCACAGCTTATCTGTATAGCTAAAAAGGCAATGCTGAATTAAAAAAAAAAAAACTAAACTAAAAATAAATGCCAATGACAGTGTAAGTCTTTGAAATAAAGAATTAATAACAACTTTTTAAATAAAAAACACCCTAGTCACCTGAGGTAAGCCTTTTTTGCTTTAAAAACAGAGTACACTTATTTCCTAAGAATCCACACACCTTAAAGCTATTCTAATATTTCAGAAATTGTTTTCTACGTTGGACCAAAAAGCGTAAGATGCATCCAGTTCCCATGGCCTTCAAGAAGCACTGTAAATTCCTGAACCCCACAATACTCGCGGTTCTACTACAAACTTCAAAAACCAAAACAAAAAAACCCTTTCCTCAATGGGTAAGTCAAAAGTAAAATTAGAGACATAGCTGGACAGTAACAACAACATTGGCACGCACTGTAACATAATCCTACTGGTACTGTTATTTCTTTGTTAAAAAGGTTGGGAAGCTCTTCTTAGGTTTTCTTTACTTCAGAAAGCAAATACTTCATTTTTATTACAGTGCAGGAAATACAGAAATAAAATTTGCAAATTACTCCCTTACCATTTGACTGCATTACAGCTGCACATTAGCTCTTCAGGATAATGGAAATGCATAAAATATGAGCAGTGAGAGTTTGATGAAGGTGAGCAGATAGCAGAGATAGGATATCTAATTAGCATACTGCTTTTTTCCACCTCTTTTTGCACGTTTGTACAGGTAGACTATATTATCTTCCGGCCTCTGCTCCAAGTTAACTAAGGTAATGTTATTCTACGTCTTACTAAAGATAGGTTCAAAGAGAGCGCACGTGCTTCAGTGCAGTTTTAATATATCGTTCCCTGCTAGATGGGAGGAAAAAAAAAAACCACCACCATTTCAAGACTTCTTTTATGAGGTGTAAAAGAATCTCAAACAGTAAAAACAACTTCAACAGTGTACGACCAATTACAGAACTGGTAAACTCATATAGCGCACAATCTGAATTTTGCAGAGCAATGCCCACATACAACCTGCAGTTTCTGCAGCGCGTTCTTACTTTGTCATACCAAAACCCAGAAAGATCTTATATTCGGGTCTGCTACCTTCATCATCTTTCTAACCTTAGAACAAATACCGAATTGAAAGTCAGTAAATAGCAGAACTTTTTATATGAAAGCAAAAAAAAAAAACCACCCTCCCCCCCAAACCCACACGCTTGGCAGACGGCCTTGCAGCGGTGGGGATCTGGTAAAACGTATATGGCTCCAGTCCTACGGAAAGGCCAGGGCGCACAGAGGTGAGCCCCTTCCAAAGCTACTCCTTAGTTTGCCTTATGCTGGTCATGCTAAACGAGCCCGAGAATTATGTTACTTCAAAGAACTGTATTTTAAACCCGATCACCATTTTTGTGTTTTAAAGCTTTTCAGTTATTTTTAACTGGCCTGAGAGAAAGCGGTAGGAGGAAAAAAAGTACAGCACGTACGTAAAGGACTCCTCTGAAAGCTCAGGGCAGCTCTTCCATGCGACCTCTCAATTTACAGCAGCTTATTTAGATAAAAGCTTTTTTCAGTCAGTAGTTTTGAAAGATCCGCCAAGAATTTTCCGCATACTTCTCAAAATAAATGAATAAACAGACCAACCGACTCTCTACGGGGGAGCGAACAGAAAGCTCACTATACAAAAGCAACGCTGCTCACACTTAAAGTCTGGTCTGAAGTCCGCACTTCGGAGAGGGCGAACTTGCCAGCGCCAGATTTGTGGGTTTTTTTTTTTTTGGG